ATATAATTTAAATCTGCTGGTACAACATTTACTTGTGGTCTTGAGGATCTCCTGGGTCGAGTTTTGGGTCAAAATACCGCAAATTTGTGTCAATAATTGAACACGTTGGGGGTTGGTATCAGTGTGAAGTTAGYAACTAGACTGAAGTTAGCCGCTCAAGATCAATCAATTTTAAAAATTTAACTAGTCAAATTAAAAAAAAAGTGGTCGTTAATGTCATTTCAAAAAATAATAAGCAATATTAAATAATTTACATTTGCATAACAAAATTAATTTGATGACAAATTACCAAATAATGTATTTTTGTAAATTTAAGTAGTCTTATTTACACAGGAATAATTAATTTTATGCCAAAATGTGACACAGGACAACCTTTTTTGAATTTACTGTGTGTAAATCGGCTAAAGGACTGATTTGGTTACAAAACTGTCAAATCTGTGTCAAATCTCTTTAAGAATTGCAGTGGAAAGTTATTAAAATAGTTTATAATGAAATAAATAGTAATTAATATTTCATTTAGGATATTTTACTCCTAAACTTTCAAATCAAAGAATACAAAAAATTGTTTGCAAATTACTGCTTAGTGACATTCAGGCTTGCAACATAACTTAAATCTGGGTGGGTAAATCTAACTTGATCCCATTTTAGGTATTGTTGGTACAACATTTACTTACTTGTGGTTTTAGAGGTCTCCTCCGGGTCGAATTTTGAGTCAAAATCCCTCAATAATTCTAATAATTAAGCATGTCAGGAGGGGGTTGGTACTTGTGTGAAGTTAGCACCTGGAGTGAAACTAGCAACAAGTGTTCTAGAAAGTTCCTTGTGGGGTTGTTCTCAAGGGTTGTTTCCCCGTGGTTGCATTTAGTTTTTTTGGGGGCAAAAATCCTCATCAATGTGTGAATTTGCGTCCCCAATTTGTCAGTTGGTAACCGTGTGAAGTTATCCGTTTGTGTCAACATGGCGTCTACCCTTTCGTAGTGTTGTGTTCGACGCGTCTTTCTCTCAAAACGATGCATTGAGCGCGTTGTGCCCCCTTGTGGAGTGTTTACCGTAAAAATGTCGGAAATCGTGTACCCCGCGGGCTGCCGGCCCATCAGCGACGACTTGGGCCCCGACGAGCTGATCCGCCGCTTGAAGACCCTCGCGCACACGTTGCAAGCGATGGGACAGGACGAGGGGGCCTACCAGCAGTACATCCCTCTCGCCCTGCACCTGGCCGAGGAGCAGTTCCTGTCGCACCCGTCCCGCGACGTCCAACTCCTAATCGCGTGCTGCATCGCCGATGTTTTGCGGGTGTACGCCCCCGACGCCCCCTACAAGGACGCCGACCAAGTCAAAACCATCTTCCTCTTCCTCATCACGCAGTTGTCGGGCCTCAAGGACCCCAAAGACGCCGCCTTCAAGCGCTATTTCTACCTTTTGGAGAATCTCGCCTATGTGAAATCCTTCAATATGTGCTTCGAATTGGAGGATTGTCAGGAGATTTTCTGTGCTTTATTCCATTTAATGTTCAAGATTGTCAATGACGAGCATTCGGGGCGCGTCAAGAGTTTCATGTTGGACGTCCTGTGCCCCCTTATCACCGAAAGCGACATGGTCAGTAACGACCTCCTTGATATCATCCTAATGAACATAGTAGAACCCAATAAAACACAGCGGAAAAACGCCTATCTCCTCGCGAAGGAACTAATCGTGAAGACATCTGATACTCTGGAGCCCTACATTCAAGCTTTTTTCAATCATGTCCTAATTCTGGGGAAGGAAGACAAGAATTTGCAGATTTGTGGCAAAGTCTACGACTTGATCTATGAATTGAATCATATTTGTCCGCAGATTTTGGTGGCGGTGCTTCCGCAACTCGAATGCAAGCTCAAGAGCCCCCTTGAGGCCGAGCGTTTGGGGGCTGTGGCCCTGCTAGCGCGCATGTTTAGCGAGAAGGATTCGGAGTTGGCGCGTCGTCATGGCTCACTCTGGCGGGCGTTTTTGGGGCGTTTTAACGATATTTCACTGCAAATTCGCACGAAATGTGTTCAATACTCGATGCATTTCCTCCTCAATCACCCCGATTTGAGGAAAGACATCACCGACACCCTCAAAATGCGTCAACACGACTCGGAGGAGAATGTGCGTTATGAGGTGGTGATGGCGATCGTGACGACGGCGCGTCACGACTTCCAAGTGGTCTCCGATTCGGAGGATCTTCTCGAGTTTGTCAAAGAGCGTACACTTGATAAGAAGTTTAAGATTCGTAAGGAGGCTATGACGGGGCTTGCCTCGATTTATAGGAAGCATTTGAGTGATCCAGATGTGCCGAATGCCACGAAGAAGGCTGTTACGTGGATTAAGGATAAGATTCTTCATGGGTATTATATGGCCGGGATGGAGGATCGCCTCCTGGTGGAGCGTTTGTTGAATACGTGTCTGGTGCCGTATCAATTACCACCAGCTGAAAGAATGAAAAAGTTGTATCATTTATTGGGTACGGTTGATGAGCATGCAACTAAGGCGTTTATGGAGTTGCAAAAGAATCAATTGTGTGTGAGGAAGTTGGTGTTGGAGTGGTTGGAGTTGCATAGGAGGCCGGCGAGTGCTGAAGTGCAGAAGGAGATGGCCTTGAAAGTGCAAGCATTGTCGAGGTAATACCGGTTAAAAATTATATATTTATTTGAAGTGGTCATTTTGATTGGTCAGTTTTGGTCACGTGATTGTAAAACGGTCACTTTGATTGGTCATTTTTGGTCACATGATTACATTGAGATTAATAAATGTCAAACTTAATTGTCCACTTGCTCTTTTGGGCCAAAAAATGACAAATAACTAAGTCAATTCTTATAGTACAGGGTGTTCCAATGAAAACGAGCCACCCCGAATATCTCAGAAACTAAAAAGACTTTGCAAAAACGCCGAAACAGGTCAATTTTTGTTTCCGAGGGGGACATTTTATGACGTAATTTTTAAAGCACTCCCACGCACCCCAAGTTTAAAAATTTAAAAGCTATTTTAACAAGCTTTTCTAAACTTTTTACCAAAATTAAATCAGACCATCCATTCGTGAGATACAGGTGTTCTAATAAAAACGAACCAGAAAGAATTTGCAAAAAACAGAAAAAACGAAAAGGGGTAATTTTGTAGTAGACAAAAGTCGCTGAAACCTAACAAAAAACTAACAGATTGGGTAATTTTTTCAGCAAAGGAATGATTGAAGAAATTGGCACAAAAATTACAGAAATACAGGGAGAAAAATAGCATATAAGGTAAGATACCAGGAACATGGAAAAAATGTTAAAAAAATTTTATCTATAAAAATTTCGAAGTTATGAGGGTTTAAAGTTTGCACTTTGACTCTATTTATTTCTATTGGAAAAATAATTTTACAAGTTTCTTTGCTATAGACTATTAAAAGAGGAAACAAGGAAGCTGTGTCTTAAATTGTAACTCTTTTCAATGTTATTTGTCGCTTTCATTGGCAAAATTTTTGTACCTTTACTAAATAATTGTAAAAAAACATATACAAGATCATCAGTATCATTAAATAGACATAAAAAAATGTCAAATGTCAAAAAATAAATGTCAAAAATTTTTGACAGATAGAATTTTTTAAACATTTTTTTCATGTTCTTGGTATCTTACCTTACTTGAAAATTTTCTCTGGGGCGCGAGTTATGGCGCACCTGTATAAGACTTCTTTTTTTGTTCTTTTTTTTCAACCACAAAAAGTGGACAAAGATCGCTAAAACATGGTTTACATTGAAAAACTTATGATTGAAAACAAAAATATGTAATATTTTTAAAAAATGGTACAAGAATACGAAGAAAATAAGGTTACTTTTTAATTCTTTTTTTTCCAACCACAAAAAAGTGGACAAAAGTCGCTAAAACATGGTTTACATTGAAAAACTTCTGTTTGAAATAAAATAGGTGTAAATTATACATTTTAAATGAAAAAAATTAGTTAGCAAAAAACAGTATTTTTAGAATATTTGAGAAAAAAATTACATTTTCTTTTGAAAAATTATGAGAAATAACATAAGTCTAACGTCAATTCTTTGTTTTTAACGAAGAAAGACTATTTTGAATTTGTTGAAGAAATGAAGTAAAAAGATAGTAATATTTGAGAAATCTACCGAAAAAAAGTATAAAAAATAATTTTGATTTTTAATTAGTAGTAGTTTATAGTTAGTTTATATTAAAAAAAAAAACAAAACGCGTAATTTT